TGATCTATTCACGATCAGAGGAGCCCCGGCCGAGTCCCTATCTACGTGTAGCGCCCCGCGACATCCTTGAACCCCTCATAGATTTGTCTCGAGAACCACTGTTTTTGGTTGTTTGTTGTTTAACGCCGCACTCAGTAATATTCCAGCTATATGACGGCGGTCTGTAAGTAATCGAATCTGGACCAGACAATCCAGTGATTGACATCATAAGCATCGATACACGCAATTGGGACACGATGACATGTATCAACCAAGTCAGCGAGCCTGACCACCCGATCCCGTTAGTCGCCTTTTACGGCAAGCATGGGTTGCTGAAGACCTATTCTAACCCGGATCTTCACGGGTTCAAAGAGATGTGAAATCCGTTTATAACTTTGTTTCATTTTCTAAGTCTATCACAAGAAGTGTCCCCAGTGACTGGTTCCACAGCTCAAATATCATACCGGCTACACGTTACTTTCACCATTTTACTATTTCAGCTAATGGTCCTGATGCAGTCAACCAATGACCTTTATAGTCTACATTATGGTTCTGTTCGGATGAACAAAACCTTCCAAATGGCGTGCTGGTATTCTTGGGGGAATTAGTCAGCAAAGACCCGGAGTTACAGGAGACTAATCACAATTTTACTTACAAGAACAATTAACAATGAACCAGTTTACAATATCTTAGAATATAGCTGAGGGTGCCACAGAGAGTCGGTACAACCCTCTTGGCTGTGGAAGAGAGATCTGCTTGGTATGAGTGTCAAACCCCTTCTGCTTAACATTTTGCTTCTGTATGTATTTAACAAAACTTGGAACAACAAAAACGAATATGATTGGTTGATACACGATGGGATGTGCCTCATGGTTAATGAATGGCTAGACAGAGGGGAATACTTAATCCTGTTCATCCTGTTGGACTGGCGCTAATCTTGTTGACATATTTACTGGCTGCTTTGAAAGAGATTATGGCGTCACTATAGACGAGCTTGTATAGGGGCTAATCCTTAATGAGTCTAAATTGAAGTAATTGCTGAATGTTATTCTAATATAGGTGATGACAGATTTACTTAAATAAAATAGATAGTTCAAGGCAATCAATAAGATTATGTAGACATATCTTTTGTCTGGGAGATGGGATCTTGATACCTTAGGCTATCATTTATCTAAAAGCTTCAAATCTATTAAACTATGTAGACATAACTCTTGTCTTATTGAATAGTATGTCTAGGAGATGCGCTCCCGTTGCCTTAAGCTTGCATCTATCTAAAAGGTTATAACTGAAACTACTAATATTTTATATATGCATTTTACCTTATGATAAGTATTACTTGCTAAACTATAATTATATAAAATGATGTAGAAATATTACACCATGATAACTCATAAAAGCACTTCATGTGGATCTAATTATTATAGGAAAACTTAGTATAAATGTTATATCATGAACTCTATACAAAGTCATGTCGTCACTTTTCTGTTAATCAATTAATGGACTACATACCAGTGAACACATTAAAGGAGCCCCATGGGAAATCCGGGTCAGAATTGCTCCACAGCTATGCTGGTTGTATGTGGCTATACTAAACGGATCCAGTGGTCAGAATCAGTTTCTTGGCTGATTGCATATCATCGTACCCTGATATCGTGGATCGGTGCTTACAATAGCATTAACTGTATTGTCTGGTCCAAACTTGATTATTTACAGGTTGCCTTCATATAGCTGAAATATTGCTGAGCACAGCATTAAATATATCAACTAAATAAGAACTTCTTTAAGGATAAATGTAATTGTGATCCAAACATATTTCTTCATTTACCATCAGTTAAATGTTTTCACTGTGGTCTGACATACGTTTCGTGTTTCATATATATATTACCTGTAGATTTGCCAGTGATAAATTAAATTTTGAACCAAGTGTGCAAGGAGAGGTGTTAATAGGAAATGAAGCGCCGTCAATTCCCAAACAGCATAGTTCTACATTGAAAATACAGTATTTTTATTTCCTTATTCAACCATGACCAAATTAAACATGAAAGGCTTGGGTTCTTAAGGGAAACCAGAAATTAAACACAGTGAACCATACAAGATTTAGCTCTACATCAAATCACGATTTTGATTATGATGTCTTTGCATTCGTAAGCTATAACACTTCACAGATGGAGTAGCAACAAGTTTCAAATGTTTCGATGTTTCGACCTTTGTGATACCCTCAATTGTGTATGGTGTTTATGTACAAAATGTACTGCTATTCGAACCATATATTGATGTCATATACAATATTGTACCATTTTCACACAATATCAGTGACCTCACAGTTTGCTTGTCATACTGTGTCTGAGCTGTTGGTCAAGCGGTGGGGGGGGAAATTATTTGTCTATTGTAACATGATACTTTCTATGACGAGTTCCAGATCGGAGAGGAATTTCTAGGGGTTTGGAGATGTGACACCAATTACTGTATGACACATTTACTGCTTCTGTGAGATCCTGAAAGATAGGCACATTTGGAAGACTACATACATCATTCTCATTGACCCAGGTTCCATATGGCACATCAGGAGCAATAGATTTTCAAGGTAAAGGTCATATGTGCTCAATTTGAGACCAAAACTTACTGGCAAGCTCGTCCCCTTGAAGCAATCAGATCCCGAATTGTGGTCAGGGGAATGTTCACCCACTCTTTCTGCAGTACATGTGCCAACTGTCGGAGGTTCTGTGGTTGTTGCTAACGTGCTCGCAGTTGTTGATCCAGTGCAACCCAAACATGTTTGATTAGGCTGAAATCTGTAGACCTGGAGGTCCATGGCAGGGCCTGGATATTGTAAGTCCTTAAAAAGGTTGTTGTCAGCGTTGTCTTGTTGGATAATGGGAAGGATTTGTGGCTGAAGAATGTCATCTGTGTAACTTGCACCAAATCAGTTCTGTCAGTGTAGGAGATGGGTGCACACATCATTACACTACCACCAGCAAATCCGTCCACTTCCTGTATGCAGTTACGTGCATAACTTTCCTGCGACGCCTGCATGACGTTCCCCATTCGCACAGCACAGAAACGTCACATATCACAAAACAAAACTTGTCTCAATCGCATTTATGGCCGTACTCGCCATACCTTGACGGCACTGACGGCGCATAGACGGTTCCTCACTGTCGGGGCTGATATCCTGCACAATCCAAATATTGCCGTAGTTTGAGAGGTGGACGTAGTTTTCTTTTAGGTGAAGTAATGTAGCCGTATTGATCTGACCTGTGCTGTAGTAGTGATACGGGGTCAGCCGGAACTGGGAAGGTCCCGTGTTGTCCCGTGTGTCTGGTAAGGGTTCCACAATACGTGAGTGAGTGAGTTTGGTTTAACGCCGCTTTTAACATTATTCCTGTTATATCGCGGCGTGTCAGCTTAATGTGGGAGGAAAGCCCGAAGTGATGCAGGTGTCAGACGTTTACCACTTCGGTGAAACCCACGATCACGGGTATGTTGCTGACAAACCTAGAAACATAATCGGGGTGAACCGGGATTCTAACCCACAGTCATAGGTTTCTTGCATTTTCAAATGGTGTAAGGTTTGACTTAAAAATACATCTGCACAATCATTTAATTACAATTGAGATTCCATGTCAGAAATGACCCTCAATAACTCTTGCGTGCTGTAAGAGCTGATCAAGAAAAGATTCGTCTTACTCCGTGTGCCTGCAACGTGTGTACAAATTAACACAGTGTCGCGTGCATGCTCACATACAGGATTCTCATTTCAAAGAAATGTGACAAAGAATGCAGATACTAGGTCACTATTAAAAAAGTATTCATGTGTAATAATACAGACTCTCTTTCCAATGCATAATACATCGATTGAAACCTGAAGGCGTGTGTATTATACACAAGAAAGAGCTATCAACTTGCACTGTAATACGAGATACACCCGAGACTGCCTCTCAGGCCCGTATTATCAAAGTTTGTCATATCAAATTTTATATAAGACAACGACGACTGTAATCTTACATTATCCCGCGATATGCCAAGGAGAGGCACGGGCCACCGAGCCGTGGATGCCCGTGCCTATAATAAAAACAGAAGATGAGATTGGGTTAAATGGCCGAGGGTGTGCAGGTACTAGTGGGCTACTTAGCTGCTAATTGTGTATACCAAAATGCTACCGTTGCCATGGCCACGCGCGTGGCCAACGGCGATTGCAGCTAGCGCTGCTGGCCTGAGACTGCTACCGCTGTCCGGCCCCCACGGTAGCATATTTAAACGCTACCATTGCTTGGCAACTCCCACGCCGCCAAAAGCAGCTCCACGCTGCTGGCCTAAGTCAGACTACCGCTGCCCGGCCCCAGGTAGCCGGCCAAAGCAGATCCCACTGCCCGGCCCCATTAGCAAAACCATTGTGCGGCTCCCGCCGCGGACCCAACTGTAAGCTACCGCTTGACAAGACGACTTCCGCCGCCGGGCACATATACGTGGCAATTGTTTGCCCCAACGTATGTTATTTTACGATTCCCCGGCTAAAAGGTCGGGAAAAACAAGGCTCCCACTGAGAAGCAGGTAACCCCGGAAAGGTTCCCGCTGAAAAGCAGGTAGCCTTAAGCACGAGTATTAATTTGGAAGCAAGTTAATTTGTTACTAGCAGTGTAGCCCACAAGAACCCCGCACACCTCGACATAGTTTATTGTTGAGACAGGTATCGCATATATACATATATACAGCTATTAAGAAGTCATGTTTATTTACATATATCAGAATTGTTTAAAAGTATGTACATATATACAACCGCCCTGAAAACCTATTTTACATATGTGCAGGTTTATTTACATATATACAATCCGCTCTGCTGGTACCTGTAATAGAATAAACGCTGAAGAAAAGTGATTAGCATTCCAGGTGAAGAGGACACGTCAGGCTGAAAAGGAAAGAAAAAGGAGTGGCAAGCTGGGTGGGTGGGTGGGTGGGTGGGAAAGCGATTAGATACAGTGACACACGTGTGTACTTGGGGAAGGGCTGTTCGCGAATGACGGACTGACAAAGGGCGGGATGATGCTTGCGCGGGATTATTCCCCGGGCACGGTGCCGAGTGGTGACCCGGGGGTGATTGAGTTACGAGGGGTGATTGGGTTACAGACGTTATTAGCCCATGGTTTGGATACGCGCGATAAAGTCATTTAGTAGTTAGTACTAAATGTAATTGTTTGAGATACATTCTTGTCGGCACTTCATAGTACTCGTCTCCATTCTGAGAGATCATAGCAAAGACAAAGCGCCTCCACATGTGCAGAATTAGAGTGGGTGAGTAAGTTCAAATGTAACGTCGTATCAGTATTATTTGAGCCATATAGCGATTGGGAATTGAAATTGGAATAGGAATTACTCCGCTTTTCTTTGTGGAGGGAACATTAACGAAAATTATGGTCAGTTTATGTCAGGAAGATTATGCTGTGATATATTACGCGTGAAATGAAAAACTCAAACGTCTTTAATTGCCTCTTATGTAATTCGATGTTTTTGTTTTTCCAACTGACATCCCGTGGCCATTAGTCTCTGCTACAGTTTGCGCAGTTTGTAACTTTCAATCAAATCATACATTGTTAATTATGTGTAAGCAGCCAAAGTTAACAGAATGCATTGTTAAATATTTTCTATAGTGTTATACAATATGTAATTGTATGCTTTATTATATCAGAACAATTATCAAAAGAGGAGATAATCCTGTTGTGTTTTAAACCTTGGAGTTGTCCCACTGTAGATCAGATACCTCTGCAGGATAAGGTCCTTTTTTAATTTGGAACCGAGCGCTTTAGTTACACTGTAGATTAGACACCTCTTATTTTAATTGGAACTGAGCACTTTAGTCGGTTTACATCCGTAATACCATCACAGAATGAGCGTTTTGAAACGGTGCTCTTTTGTAACAGTGATTCCACATGGGTACGATGGTCCACTATCTTAGAACATGCCGATAAAGATTCACATGTTGAGACTACTCATTTTTATGACCGATGATTATGGGGTCCTGACACAGTGGTAAGTGTGTTGTACATAATTGTGTGTATTATGTTGTTCTGATATCGAAGGTATACGATATTATAATGGGATATTCATTGTTATTATCATCGATGCTGTCGATAGGTCGATGTTTTCATGCGTCCGCTTTTTTGTGTGAAAAGGCTACATTTAAAAGAGATATCAAAATTAACTATTTAAGGATCCTTCAATATCTTGTTTGAATCAACGTCATTACCTCCATTTTAGCTCATTGATACAAGTTAGTTATAAGCAGAGTTTTACGCTGCAATGTGTCACTTAGTGCTATTAAATGTCAACAATTTTAGATAAACTTTAAGAGAACCGCAAGGAGAATGTAGTTAAAAAAAGAAGGGTGTTGCTCAAAATACGAAATGAGGAATGCCATTTATAAGAACGAAGTTCTACGACATACAGTGGAATCTGTCAACATCGAACTCAGAATTCTGTCAAAATGGATCCGCTCTAGATCTTTTGCCCCGTCTTAACTACGTCAGTTGATCAAGTAATTAATCAATCCTGATTTGGGGTTATGGGACTGAAATTATTTGGACAAAAGACAAATTCATCTTTGTTCCACTGAAAATTGACTAACTGCGTTAATTGGTTGAATGGGTAAATACCTGTTCCGAATGTGGAATAACATGCATACCTCTTTTACGTGAACCTCGCAGTCTCCTTTATTAGATGCACAAATATGCGTTATCTTTATAACAAGTAGTTATATCTATTAAGAAAGACATTATGTACTCAATAAAGGTGTTTTACATCATATCACATTTTTACTAACGCAGTTACAGTTGATTATTAAGCCACAGATGATTATGTCCCTTTTTTCCTAATAACCTTCAAAACTTCTTCCCAGCGTTGTACTCATGGATGGCGTTTAAAACATCAACACATCTTGAGATTAATATCTCTGGCATGTAGTTATATACCAATCCAAGTGTATGGACATTTATGGTGTTTATGTGTTTAGTATATGAACGTGTAGGGTTTCTTAATTTGATGCTCCGATCTTGTTCTTCTATTCCCCTTTGAGACATAATTAGGAATAAGAGAATTTGTGTCGTTTTGATGTTTTCTTTGCCCAAGTATATAAATGCATAGTCGTCATGAGGAACTAACAATGAAGGTTTGTGTTGACGAGTGGGTTTGTTGTTATGGGTTAATACCTCTACCACTTTTGTAAGGACACGGACTTGGGCAATCTACATTTTATAACATGTAAAGAAACAAAAGGTTGAAAAGGGTCAAAAGTTAAGTTTGCAGGTTGTGTAATGACACGGTAGCACACTGCTGTGTGCATGCTCCCATACAGGTGTCTCATTTCAATGAACTATGACAAAGAATGCAGCAAGGTGTATCAACATACTAGGTCACGATTTCTTAACGTGAAAGGATTATTCACATTTAATAAGACAGACTCTCTTTCCAATGCATAATACATCGATTGAAACCTGTAGGCGTGTGTATAATACACAAGAAAGAGCTATCAACTTGCACTGTTATACGAGTTACAGCCGACACTGCCTCTCAGGCCCAAATCATCAAAGTACGTCATATCAAATTTTATATAAGGCAGTGACGACTGTAATCTTGCATTGTTTGAGATACATTCTTGTCGGCACTTCATAGTAGTCTGGATACAGAGAGAGCCACAGCACAGACAAAGCGCCTCCACGTGTGCAGAATTAGAGTGGGTGAGTAAGTTCAAATGTAACGTCGTATCAGTATTATTTGAGCCATATAGCGACTGGGAATTGAAATGGGAATAGGAATTTCTCTATTTTCTTTGTGGAGGGAACATTAACGAAAATTGTGGTCAATGTATTTCAGGAAGATTATGCTGCGATCTGATTTTGTCAGCACATGCAGGCAAACAACTGGTCATTAACAAATTCGAAATATTTATTGTTATTGGTTTTGAGGTTTAAAGATTTGTAATATAGCCTTTCTGAAGAATTCTATGGGAAAACGTTTGGTTTTGTGTGTCCTGAAAGTGGGAATGCATTAACCCCAACACTGTTCATATTCTTTTTACATGCCTGTATTGATTAAACATTTGGGGAACTATTTTATTGTTACTTTAATTTGAAGAATAAGCACTTTAGTCACACTGTAGATTAGAAACCTCTTATTCTAGTTGGAACAGAGCACTTTAGTCACACTGTAGATTAGAAACCTCTTATTTTAATTGGAAACGAGCACTTTAGTCGGTTTACATCTGTAATACCATCACAGCATGAAGATTTTGAAACGGTGCTCTTTTGTAAAAGTGATTCCACATGGGTACGATGGTCCACTATCTTAGAACATGCCGGTAAAGATTCACATGTTGAGACTACTCATTTTTGTGACCGATGATTATGTGGTCCTGACACAGTGGTAAGTGTGCGTTGTACATAATTGTGTGTATTATGTTGTTCTGATGTCGAAGGTATACGATATTATAATGGGATATTCATTGTTATTATCATCGATGCTGTCGATAGGTCGATGTTTTCATGCGTCCGCTTTTTTGTGTGAAAAGGCTACATTTAAAAGAGATATCAAAATTAACTATTTAAGGATCCTACAATATCTTGGTTGAATCAACGTCATTACCTCCATTTTAGCTCATTGATACAAGTTAGTTATAAGCAGAGTTTTACGCTGCAATGTGTCACTTAGTGCTATTAAATGTCAACAATTTTAGATAACCTTTAGGAGAACCGCAAGGAGAATGTAGTTAATAAAAGATGGATGTTGCTCAAAATACGAAATGAGGAATGCTATTTATAAGAAGGCAGTTCTACAACATACAGTGGAATCTGTCAACATCAAACTCAGAATTCTTGTCAAATGGATCCGCTCTAGATCTCAAGCCCCGACTTAACTATGTCAGTTGATCAAGTAATTAATCAATCAGGATTTGAGGATTTGGGATAATTTTATTATTTCAATAAATGACAAATTCATCTTGGTTCCACATAATTTAGAAACTGAGGTAAGAGATAAATGCATAACCGTCTACTGTCTCAATAGCACATTGTATATTTTCAGCTGAAATTTGAGTGACTGCATTTATTGGTTGAATTTGTAAATACCTGTTCCGAATGTGCGGAGTGGAATAACATGCATACCTTTTTTACGTGAACCTCGCAATCTCCTTTATTAGATGCACAAATATGCGTTATCTTTATAACAAGAAGTTATATCTATTAAAAACACATTATCTTTCCAATAAAGGTGTTTTACATCATATCTAATTTTTACAAACGCAGTAACAGTTGATTATTAAGCCACAGATGAGTGTGTCTCTTTTTTCCTAATAACCTACAAAACTGCTTAGTAGTGTTGTACTCATTGATGGGGTTTAAAATGTTAGCACATTTCGAGATTAATATCTCTAGCATGTAGTTATATACCAATCCAAGTGTATGGACATTTATGGTGTTTATGTGTTTAATTAGTATATGAACGTGTAAGGTTTCTTAATTTGATGCTCCGATCTTGTTCTTCTATTCCCCTTTGAGACATAATTAGGAATAAGAGAATTTGTGTCGTTTTGATGTTTTCTTTGCCCAAGTATATAAATGCATAGTCGTCATGAGGAACTAACAATCATATAAAACCGAACCATGATGTCACATTATCAATCGATTTATGTTATAGTAGAGAATTAATTCGACCACCTTCAGAAACTAGAAGCAGTTTTGCGATGATTTGTTTGTTCTTTAACGCCGTAGTAAACAATGTACCAGTTGCATTTCTTCTGTTGAGAGAAATGCGCATTATATTTTATAATAAACACCATGAACTTGTGATCATACCCGGTGTTCGCGATAAGGTGCGTATACTGCTACACCGATGGCACCCGTGATGGTGTACTTGGAAAATGTTCAGAATTCTGAACCCCTTTGGGACCCATGGAAGAGTTATCTTCTAATCTTGGCCAGTAAACATCATGTTCCTATTCTCATGTATATGCAAATGGACATTGTGTTTTACAACAGTTTGATTAAATTTCAACTTTAGATTGCACAATGTCCGCCAGTGATCTGAAGACAATGGAGGTGGAGGAGACACGGACTTCCAGGCCACAGTGGGGATCTCGAGTACAATACGTCTTAACCCTTGTCGGTTACAGCGTAGGTTTGGGAAATATATGGAGATTTCCCTATATTTGCAACAGGAATGGAGGAGGTATTATTTTGTAACTCTCTTATCTTTTAGGGTTATCATTATCAACATTATCATCACATTCAAAGCCTTAGTAAGGTTAAAAAAGTTGTATGGTTGACATGTGGAGTTCATTAAAAAATTGGACAAATCAAAGAGATTTTAATTAAATGAGTTTTATTCTTTTTTCTTAATGGTTACTTCAACACATGGCGCATGCTATTTTCAGACGCTTTTTTAACTACCGTGGAAAACTCTTCACTCAAATACTCAGGCAAACGTGTATTATTTTATAGACCTATTGAAACACCAAAGATTCAATAAATTCAAAGTAAAGAGATCATTTCACAGCTTTTTGTATATATTATGCAGTGAAGAAAAGAAGTGATCAAAATATTTAGTTAAAGAACTTATATAATTCTTTGGTGTAAAAGATCATAATCGCTTTTTTCTCATTTTTTTCTTCAACGTTTCAGGAGCGTTCTTGATTCCATTTGCCATTTTTCTGTTCCTTGCCTGTTTTCCCCTGTTTTTCCTTGAGACTTGTGTGTCTCAGTTCTCCGGCAAAGGGACGGTTCATGTGTGGAGTTTTTGTCCCCTTCTCAAAGGTAATTCCCTGTTTTAAATGTGAATACTTGCAGATGATTGAAAACAAATGATTTGTTCAGGCTAAATTGATTTGAATTCAATGTTATGATATTGAAATTAACATGGGACAAAACAAGAAAAAACAAATGCTCAAATATGAATACGAAAGCATGCTATCATTGATACTGAACTCATATTTAGAAATCAGAACGACGAGTTTATTCAATCATGCTGTTTTGCGCAGAGCCTCCTTGGTTTGACCCAGTGCAAAATATGTAAAAATGTAGCTGTCGAATGGGATCTATGTCGAACGAATGTGAAACTGAAACAACACTGTTGTATTCAAGCTTCAGTGCGTTTATTCATAAGGTATACAGAGTTACGTCCCTAGGATCCGTTAACCGGGACACGCAGATCGAATCACCCGGAGAATCCAGTATCAACATATTGCACCAAATCACTACAAACACAAGTTCGTGTTTTATTTATAAGCATTTTGGTTTCGTTCATACATTTGTCAACTTACATTTTCTTTCTGCAAGGGTGGGTATTGACATAGTGATTCTAAATCATGGACCTGCAGACCCGTGAAGATTCCGGGATAGAATAGGTCTTCAGCAACCCATGCATGCCGTAAAAGGTGACTATGCTTGTCGTAAGAGGCGACTAACGGGATTGGGTGGTCAGGCTCGCTGACTTGGTTGATGCATGTCATCGATCCCAATTGCGTGGATCGATGCTCATGATATTAAACACTGGATTGTCTGGTCCAGACTCGATTATTTACAGACCGCCGTCATATAGCTGTAATACTGGTGAGTGCGGCGTTAAACAACAAACCAACCAACCAAATCATGGACCTGCACGTTGTGTAGACGGCCTTTGAGGTTTCCGGGTCCCAAGTGGGCTCAATGACCCAAGCTTGTAACAGTCGACCAAAATAGACCGGATGATCAAGCTTAGCATCGTGTGTGATTATGAATATATAGGCAACCCAAATGGATATGACTCCAACATTGCTGATTGACATAAAACAGTATCACTTTCTCACAACAAACATTTGTCAATGTATGTGTTCCTTCCACAGGGGTGGGTGTTGGGATGGTGATTCTTGGTTGCCTGATGGTCCCGTACTACAACTTCCTCATGGCGTGGCCGATATACTACCTCGTCCAATCCTGTTCTGCTGTCCTGCCTTGGACTACATGCGGAAATGACTGGAATACTGTGTATTGCGTAACTGACTTCGTGACTAACGTCAACTCAACAACGTCCAATATGACGTCATTGAATGATACGCTGTATGATTATGTGGCTGTCACCAAAGCGTGGGAGAACCTAACACTGGCACATACTGCTGTGGAGGAATTCTGGCAGTAAGAATTTCATCATTAATATATACATTGATATATGTCATTGATATCCTGTCTTTTAATATATACTGGGTACTATTTATCAGTTCTTAGGACACGCGGGCGGTCGGGTAGCCTAGTGGTTTAAATTAAATCGTTCGCTCGTCACGCCGAAGACCCGGGTTCGATTCCCGACATGGGTGCAATGTGTGAAGCCCATTTCTGGTGTCCCTCGCCGTGATATTGCTGGAATATTGCCAAAATCGGCGTAGAACCGTACTCACTCACTCACTCACTCACTCTTAGGACACGCATGGGACAATTTGGAATCCCCGCTCGTTTCAAATGACCAGGAAAATGAGAATAACAGAACTACGAATATAACTGAGGAGTTTTGTAATGGCAAACACTGTGGTGCAGCAGCCAACCTGGCATGTTCATTATGAGCGAAAAGATCGCTTCCTTATTGTATCTTATCTTTGACAAATTCAATGTGAGTGACAATAATCTATTTTTCTTTGATTATGTTTCATAATAAGCCACACTTACCTTTTGTCTTTCTCTTGTGGATAGAGCATCTGACTGGTGAGCGGAAAGCCGGTGGTTTTTGATCTCGTGACCTCGTCATACAACAGACGTTAATCGTTGAAAGATGCTACTTGTAATTACTAATTATGCTTCAGGGTTTGTCAAAACGATGCCCTGCTCGTGGGTTGCCCTGAATAACGATGCCCTGCATAACTTGGGGCCTTCTAGATGACCACCTGTAATATATAATTACAATATTGTTTAAAACAGCTTTCAAGCACATTCACTGACTCTTTGACTACTAAAGGTACAAGGTGCTGGATATATCCACTGGTCTGGGGAATATTGGATCCATGCAGGGGCACATCGTGGGCTGCCTCTTTGCATTCTACGTCATCATGTTCTTTTGTATATTCAAAGGAATCAAGTCCGTTGGCAAGGTATATATCTATCTTTCGCTATACCTCTGAGCTATATCTTTTTCCTTCTGTCCATCTCACTCTCTCTCTCTCTCTCATCATGCATCCTAGTCAAGGATAGCACGAGGCATTCCGAACGACAGTTACAGTCTGTGCGACTAATATACAATATATCGCCTTACTGCCATATAATATAGGCCATATATTAGACATTCCAAAATTATCATTTTGTTAAGTTTTAAAATTCTGAATCAAGAACTTTATCAAATTAGTTTCCTAAGCAAAGTCTGGAATGGAAGTCGCTAGAGAATGGTGTTTTCTGACTGGTGAATGTCGACTTCCTGTTTGTAATTTCACTGGTAGGTGGTTCAGGAAACGTCGTTCTGACATGATCTGTAATTGGAAGTCATCAGATCTTTGTGGGGCTGTAGCTAACACTGAGATCCAGTTTTATCGAGATTGGGGTGGTGTATTTTAGGTATTATTTATGGAAAAGTGCAATCCGGATGTCACTGTTCTTTTAGAACTCTTCACTGAGAACTGTTTTGTTCCCTCTTTCTTCTTAAGCAGTGCGGTAGCCTAGAAGTTAAAGCTTTCACTGGTGACACAAAAGACCTTGGCTTCATTCACCGCGACATGGCTTTAATATTGCCCTGCTCTTAACGTTTGCAAGATTATGCCCAACCCAACATTGTTTTTTTTCACTTCTAGGTTGTGTACGTGACAGCCACGCTGCCCTACATCTTGCTGACAGTGCTGCTGATCCGCACCCTTATGCTACCAGGGGCATCCGATGGTTTGGTGTACTTTTTCGCCCCAGACTTCAGCAGGCTGCAGCAAGTACAGGTACGTGCATTACTGAAGTAAAGACAATGCAGGCCATACATTTATAATTTAGCATAATCACGAGTTGAGCAAGATTTCAATGTAAGGACTGAACGTTCATGCTGCAGCAGGTTTAATTTAACTTTGTCATGTTTAAAGAAGTATTGCATGCATAGAGGTATCTCTAAAAAGTTCAATCCTCGCACCAGAATTGTTCCAGTCACCAGGTGATTCATTGTATTCCCTTCATCGGGTGTTTCATTGTGTTTTATTCATCAGGTCTGGCTGGAGGCGTGTCTGCAGGTGTTCTACTCTGTGGGACCAGGATGGGGGATGGTTCATGTTCTCGCCAGTTTCAACAAATTCCATGAACCCTGTTTACGGTAGACAATTTAAATAAGCTTGCCCTGTTCTTAACCTCACATAACTATGACCATGATAATTTCCTTTGATGAGAAATTCGGATCAATGAATCTTAAATGTTAGTTTTCTACTTATTAGAGTATATTGGCAAAGGACATGTGTTACTTACATTTGTTTCCGTAGGTGGAGGCAATGTACAAAATATCTTGACCAACAAGTTAGTATATAATAATAACCAACATTAACATGTTATTAACATACTTACAACAAATTAACATATTGAACAATTGGTTGGTTGGTTGTGTTTAACGCAGCGCTCAGCAATATTTCAGCTATATGACGGCGGTCATCCTACGGTTCCTCTGGTGTTTCGTTATACCCGTTGTTTTACTTGCAATGCAATGAACCACACGAATATATACTTTTATGAAGGTTTGTTTGTTGTTTAACGCCGCACACAGCAATATTCCAGTTATACGACGGCGGTCTGTAAATAATTGAGTTTTGACCAGACAATCCAGTGATTGACATCATGGTTGTTTGTTTGTTGTTTAACGCCGCACTCAGCAATACTCCAGCTATATGACGGCGGTCTGTAAATAATCGAGTCTGGACCGGACAATCCTGAGATTAATATCATGAACATCGATCCACACAATTGGGATCGTTGACATGCATCAACCAAGTCAGCGAGCCTGACCTCCTGATCCTGTTAGTCGCCTTTTACAGCAAGCATAGTCGTCTTTTACATATTGAACAAAATAGTTTGGAACATTGTAAACGCATTTGTTCCAGGGACACGCTCCTAGTATCATTCATTTCTGAGGGGACGAGTATTTTTGGAGGATGTGTAACATTTTCCGTTTTGGGCTCCATGGCTGCACGTTTTGGCGTTCCTGTGTCAGAGGTGGTGTCAAGCGGTGAGTTCCTGTGTCAGAGGTGGTGTCGAGCGGTGAGTTCCTGTGTCAGAGGTGGTTTCAAGCGATGAGTTCCTGTATCAGAGGTGGTGTTGAGCGGTGAGTTCCTGTGTCAGAGGTGGTGTCGAGCGGTGAGTTCCTGTATCAGAGGTGGTGTCGAGCGGTGAGTTCCTGTGTCAAAGGTGGTGTCGAGCGGTGAGTTCCTGTGTCAGAGGTGGTGTCGAGTGGTGAGTTCCTGTATCAGAGGTGGTGTCGAGCGATGAGTTCCTGTGTCAGAGGAGGTGTCGAGCGGTGAGTTCCTGTGTCAGAGGTGGTGTCGAGCGGTAAGTTCCTGTGTCAGAGGTGGTGTCGAGCGGTGAGTTCCTGTATCAGAGGTGGTGTCGAGCGGTGAGTTCCTGTGTCAAAGGTGGTGTCGAGCGGTGAGTTCCTGTGTCAGAGGTGGTGTCGAGTGGTGAGTTCCTGTATCAGAGGTGGTGTCGAGCGATGAGTTCCTGTGTCAGAGGAGGTGTCGAGCGGTGAGTTCCTGTGTCAGAGGTGGTGTCGAGTGGTGAGTTCCTGTGTCAGAGGTGGTTTCAAGCGATGAGTTCCTGTATCAGAGGTGGTGTTGAGCGGTGAGTTCCTGTGTCAGAGGTGGTGTCGAGCGGTGAGTTCCTGTATCAGAGGTGGTGTCGAGCGGTGAGTTCCTGTGTCAAAGGTGGTGTCGAGCGGTGAGTTCCTGTGTCAGAGGTGGTGTCGAGTGGTGAGTTCCTGTATCAGAGGTGGTGTCGAGCGATGAGTTCCTGTGTCAGAGGAGGTGTCGAGCGGTGAGTTCCTGTGTCAGAGGTGGTGTCGAGCGGTAAGTTCCTGTGTCAGAGGTGGTGTCGAGCGGTGAGTTCCTGTATCAGAGGTGGTGTCGAGCGGTGAGTTCCTGTGTCAAAGGTGGTGTCGAGCGGTGAGTTCCTGTGTCAGAGGTGGTGTCGAGTGGTGAGTTCCTGTATCAGAGGTGGTGTCGAGCGATGAGTTCCTGTGTCAGAGGAGGTGTCGAGCGGTGAGTTCCTGTGTCAGAGGTGGTGTCGAGTGGTGAGTTCCTGTATCAGAGGTGGTTTCAAGCGATGAACTCCTGTATCCTATAAGTTTCTACATAATGTGCGTGTAATGACAGTAAGTTGCATATGTAAGTGACGCACCGGACCACTTTCGCAACTTTCAATTTAATTTTTTAAAAAGGATAAGCGTGGTGAAATGAAGTCAGTTTAAACTATCTGGACAGATATCTAGACTTACTTGCGATGATCCGGTTGTGCCATCAGTGTCTCCTTCGAAGCGTAGTTTGTGGCACTGTTTCGGAAGTTCCTTGTTCAAGACTGCACGACCAGATCCCCGGCAGTGCGAATTTTAAAATTTTCTTGAAGGTGTCAAGCGTACAAACAACAATGCGCCTGACTTACCATAAGTTGCAGAAATTCTTAAAAAGGGATCTTGAGCGTCGGTTCTGTTATGCTTGCAAACACAACAGCAAGAGCATGTTGGAAAAGCGTATGCTTAGAAATGTTAACAATGCCCATATTTGGGCATATATCAATATTCATGCGCAACCACATTTTGCCATCGGTTTCAGTTTGGTCTGTCAACGAACGAAAGTTGTTATGTATTTACACTTATATACATTTTAAACGTGGGTAATAATAAAATACCACACTCATTGTCGTTAGATACCATTTTTGCGTACTTTCTATGGTATTTGACCTCGCTTTTACCTCGTCAGATACCGCAGAAAGTCCACTTGTTTCATAAAAATGGTATCTAACGAGAATGAGTGTAGTATTCTCTTTTTATGCTCCCGCGTAAGATTTAGTGCATCATAGAGTAGGTTCATACATAGACGTTAGCACCTGATCATACTTTTCTGCATAATGTTTAACACATCAGTATTTATTTTCACAGCCATAGTAGCTTATAGTAAGTTAACAGATTGCACGGTATCGTACAGTTGGTTCAAGCATAGCAAGCGTTTACTGACTTATGTTTGGCATTATCTTTTTGTTGCCAAGGTCCAGGTCTTGGATTCATTGCTTACCCACAAGCCCTCTCTCAACTTCCTGTTCCACAGCTTTGGTCGTTCCTGTTCTTCCTGTTGCTCATAACTATAGGGTTGGATACACAGGTACACACTTGATGTATTATATTAATTACTTCGCATACATCGCATACATCGCATACAAAATCATTTATTCCTAATAACCATGTGCAATATCGCTCCTCCTTCTTGTAATTGTCAATGAGTGGAAATATTTGCTGGAATCTGATTGGTTGAGAAACAAGATGAAATGGGAATAACAGCAAGGAAATATCCTGGATAATTCACTGTGCGTAAATACATTTTTTTCATATCTTATTTTCTTTCCATCCAATTTGGGGGCAGGATAGTCAGGTCAGATTTGTTTCTGTAAAGTCTTCTTTTCATCCCAGTTTTCTGTGACAGAGGTTCTGCCTACAACAATCATTGACAGTTACCCTCGCATGTTTGCTAAACGACGAGGGATTCTAACAGCAGCTATATGCCTCGTGTACTTCCTCATGGGTCTTGTATTTTGTACACAGGTAAGTAATTGATTAATTCCCTCCATGTAGCAAATTTGGTCGCTAACGTTTTATAGCCCAATTTTATATTGTAAAGTAATAGTTTCCTTTTCTAAAATGTTCATATATTGCTAGTTGTTATACTGTCAATCGTCGACAGATTTTAATGTACTTCTTTAAATGTGTAACTTTTTCAAGAACTGCGATGTGACCTTAAATGTTAACTTTCTCCAGCCTCCGGTAATAAAATGATACGCCGTCATATACTATTGGTCAAAAATAGCGTTTTTATCCCGACACGTACACCAAATGTATGTTTGCATGTATGCATGTATGCATATTCCTGCATAGCTCGTAGCATAAAGTAAAACCATACTTAATACTTATTGACTCGTCTTTGTTATTTCGCCAGGGAGGACCGTACATATTTCAGCTGATCGACTGGTACATTGCAGCTCTGTCGGTCATTCTGTTCTGTTTTCTTGAATGTATCGCAGTTGGGTGGATATATGGCAAGTTATATATGTTTCATTGTCCATTCGGGGTGTGCAAAATGCCAAAATTGCTAATCTTTTTTCCGAAATAGAAAATACACGAAACAAGAAGATGCCATGCATAAAAGATTATTTGAGCTTTTTCGATTGTCTGAATGTGCTGTCAAGTGCGGGGTTTTTGGAAAGCCAATCTCATCAGGCCTGGAGTTAAATATATTAATTGTTTGCGCATGTTGACTTTGTCAATACTTCACTTAGTTTTTAGGCTTCAGAATGAAAACGAATCTGCATTTAACAGTTTTTCCTATTTCTCCTCATTTCAATGGGTCTGAACACAAGTTTTTTTGTGTGAATAATGAAACTTTTTTGATATCTGTCTTTTTTGTGTAGCGCCGCACTGAGCAATATTCCGGCTATATGACGGCAGTCTGTAAATAATCGAGTCTTGACCAGACAACCCAGTGATTGACATCATGAGCATCGATCCACGCAATTGGGATACGATGACATGCATCAACCAAGTCAGCGAGCCTGACCACCCGATTCCGTTAGTCGCCTCTTACGACAAGCATAGTCGCCTTTTACGGCAAGCATGGGTTGCTGAAGACCTATTCTAGCCTGGATCTTCATGGGTCGGTTTTTTATATCTAACCACATACTTACTCTCACACACCTACATATCACCACTAATGCGCGCGCTCAAACACGCACGCACGCACGCACGCACGCACACGCACGCACGCACAAACACACACACACACGTTAGAATTGGTCCCCGGTACTCGCACACATTTCTTCTTGACTAAATTGGAATCGTTGGTCAGGTGACTTGGTTGATTGCGTGTCATCATAACCCGACGTCAATGGACGTTACTCATAATATCAACCACCTAATTTTCGGTTGTCCCTTCCTCATATAGCTCGAATAACATTGTACATGATCCGACTGTGTGTGTGTGGTGTTTATATAATGTTTTGCTGTGGGAATAACGAATAAGGATTTCCACAATCAATGTCTGTATAGGTATTGACCGGTTCAGCAAGGACATCGAGCTAATGCTTGGACATCCACCTCCGATCATCCTACGGTTCCTCTGGTGTTTCGTTATACCCGTTGTTTTACTGGTAAGGCAATGGACCACACGAATATATACTTTTATGAATGTTGTTTTTTGTTTAACGCCGCACACGGCAATATTCCAGTTATACGACGGCGGTCTGTGAATAATTGAGTTTGGCCCAGACAATCCAGTGATTGACATCATGATTGTTTGTTTGTTGTTTAACGCCGCACTCAGCAATACTCCAGCTATATGACGGCGGTCTGTAAATAATCCAGTGATTGACATCATGAGCATCGTTCCACGCTATTGGGACACTATGACATGCATCAACCAAGTCAGCGAGTCTGTCCACCCGATCCCGTTAGTCGCCTCTTACGACAAGCATTGTCGCCTTTTGCGGGAAGCATGGGTTGCTGAACACCTATTTTTCCCCGGACCTTGCAACACATGAAACGCAACAGGGAAGCAACTCTGCGCATCATCTGCATCCTCTCGGATATCATGACAGTAATCTTGTTATGTAACTATCCCGTGAGGAGTAGCAATTGCATAAATATACTTCTTGCTTCCTCACACTCCAACATTGTCAATGGACGTTTTAGTGCTTGATTAGTTTTTTAAATTGAGAGTCACATTCCCTTCCAGACAGTGTTCGTCCTGACCTTGGTCCAATATGGGCCGCCCACCTATGGCAAGTACAAGTATCCACCGTACGCCGTTACCATTGGTTGGTGTATCGCAACAGTGCCCATAATTCCCCTTCTAGTGTGTGCTGCGTTGTCTCTACTAAAACACAGATCTGCTGCATCCTTCAAACAGGTACGTCTTATTTTCGTTCCTCATATGCTTGCCGTAAAAGGCGACTATGCTTGTCCTAAGAGGCGACTAACGGGATCGGGTGGTCAGGCTCGCTGACTTGGTTTGAAGCATGTCATCGAACCCAATAGCGTGGATCGATGCTCATGATATCAATCACTGGATTGTCTGGTCCAGACTCGATTATTTACAGACTGCCGTCATATAGCTGAAATATTGCTGAGTGCGGCGTAAAACAACAAACCAACGACAACAACAACAATATTATTGCTACCGTAAATACTCATGACAGAACTTGTGTGTGTTTTTATACTGCATATTTTCAGCGTCTCCTGCTTGCCCTGAGGCCTGACTTCGACTGGATGCCATCATCATCGACACACAAGGGGCCGTACAGGGAGGAGCAGCAGAGTAGGAGAAGGACGGTCAGGGAAAATGTCAGAGCCGTGTTCAAACGTTGACCTGCATATTCACCAACACGATGAGCACACATCAGTGGTGTATCATAGTTTACATTCATAGCTTCTATCATTTGTATTTACATATGTATTTATGGAGCACATATAACGAAAATACAAATGTAACATTTCCATGACACAAACGTATTCGGAACAAAATCTAGCGACGCACACACAAGTCCAATAATTTCGCCACGAAATACCAGTTATCTTTCCTAGATGTTGGTTAGTTGGTTGGTTGTTTAACGCCGCACTGAGCAATATGCAATTGGGATCAATTACAAGCATCATCCAAGTCAGCGAGCCAGACCACCCGATCCCGTTAGTCGCCTTCCTATATGTCGACTATGAATTTTGTAATCAATAATCATAGTAAAAGAACATTTTGTATTTCCCACTATTGCTTGTATTTTCATTGATTTTACAAAAAACATTTTGAAAGTTGACGGCATGTACATGTATCATTTTGTTTGTTTGTTGCTCAAGGCCACACTTAGCAATATTCCTGCTATATGACGGCGGTCTGTAAATAATCGTGTCTGGACCAGACAATCCAGTGATTGATATCATGAGCATCGATCTACGCAATTGGGATCGATCGATCGATCGCCTCTTACGACAAGCATCGTCGCCTTTACAGCAAGCATGGGTTGCTGAAGACCCATTCTAACCCTGATCATTCAATTTACAATTTGTTTTCACGAGTTTTATGAAAAAGATTCAACCTAAAACGTTTTACCTTTATAGCGTTCTAAATGTGATAGAGATCCTCTCAGAATTCAAAATAGGTCGACGCCAAACTTTTTATTAAAGCAATCGTTAAGTATTCTCAGACAATGTCAAAGTTATGTGAGCACTGATCAGCTAAAAGTTTTAATCTAGTTAACAATATTAAAATATGCATCTGCAATACCGCCGCGTGTATTGTATAATTACATTTTCAAAAAGAAGTATGTACATTGTCAAGCTTCACAATTATTTTAAATAACATTATTTGTATTAACTGTTTCGTTTCACAACATTATCTCAATCATATTTTTTGTTCCATTTATATGTGGGGACAGTGGGGTAGCCTAGTGGTTAAAGCGTTCGCTCGTCACGCCGAAGACCCGGGTTCGATTCCCCCATATGGGTACCATGTGTGAAATCTAATTCTGGTGTCCCCCGTCGTGATATTGCTGGAGTATTGCTAAAAGCGGCCTTAAACAATACTCACTCACTCCATATATATGTGACCCGTGAAGATTCCGGGGTAAAATAGGTCTTCAGCAACCCATGCTTGCCGTAAAAGGTGACTATGCTTGTCGTAATAGGCGACTAACGGGATCGGGTGGTCAGGCTAGCTGACTTGGTTGATACATATCATCGATCCATTTGGGTGGATCGATGCTCATGATGTCAATCACTGGATTGTCTGGTCTAGACTCGATTATTTTACAGACCGCCGTCATATAGCTGGAATATTGCTGAGTGCGGCGTTAAACAACAAACCATACCATAACCATATTCCACCATATAACACCACCGAAAGATATCCACGTGATGATGAGACAACCCAGTCAATGAAAGTTTGGTCAGCGGTCCATGGCATCAGGAAATAGAGTCTCCCCTGTTGTCTGCAATTCAAGTAATCACAATTGTGGTCAACTTATGAAATATATGATGATTTCTATCTGAAATCATTTAAGCACTAATTTTGTTCCGCTATAATTTGACTTCGAGTTTATGAGGTTTCAGTGTATTTAGCTAAGATAGCAGTTCCGAATATTTGACGGACAATAGATTATTCTATTTTGGAATATCCTGGTATGGTGTTGTAATGACTGCGCAGCTATCGTAAGGGAGTAACTGTCGTATTCAAGGGGGTAACTGTCGAACGGTAACTGAGTAACTGTCAGATGTCAAACTGTAAGGGAGTAACTGTCGTACTTTAAGGGTGTAACTGTCAAACTGTAAGGGAGTAACTGTCAAACTGTAAGGGAGTAACTGTTGAACTGTAAGGGAGTAACTGTCAAACTGTAAGGGAGTAACTGTCAAACTGTAAGGGAGTAACTGTTGAACTGTAAGGGAGTAACTGTCAAACTGTAAGGGAGTAACTGTCAAACTGTAAGGGAGTAACTGTCGTGCTGTAAGGGAGTAACTGTCAAACTGTAAGGGATTAACAGTCGTGCTGTAAGGGAGTAACTGTCAAACTGTAAGGGAGTAACTGTCGTACTGTAAGGGAGTAACTGTCAAACTGTAAGGGAGTAACAGTCGTGCTGTAAGGGAGTAACTGTTGAACTGTAAGGGAGTAACTGTCGTACTGTAAGGGAGTAACTGTCAAACTGTAAGGGAGTAACAGTCGTGCTGTAAGGAAGTAACTGTTGAACTGTAAGGGAGTAACAGTTGTATTGTAAGGGAGTAACTGTCAAACTGTAAGGGAGTAACAGTCGTGCTGTAAGGGAGTAACTGTCAAACTGTAAGGGAGTAACAGTCGTGCTGTAAGGGAGTAACAATCAAACTGTAAGGGAGTAACAGTCGTGCTGTAAGGGAGTAACTGTTGAACTGTAAGGGAGTAACAGTCGTGCTGTAAGGGAGTAACAATCAAACTGTAAGGGAGTAACAGTCGTGCTGTAAGGGAGTAACTGTCAAACTGTAAGGGATTAACAGTCGTGCTGTAAGGGAGTAACTGTTGAACTATAAGGGAGTAACAGTCGTGCTGTAAGGGAGTAACAATCAAACTGTAAGGGATTAACAGTCGTGCTGTAAGGGAGTAACTGTCAAACTGTAAGGGATTAACAGTCGTGCTGTAAGGGAGTAACTGTTGAACTGTTAGGGAGTAACTGTCGTACTGTAAGGGAGTAACTGTCAAACTGTAAGGGAGTAACAGTCGTGCTGTAAGGGAGTAACTGTCAAACTGTAAGGGATTAACAGTCGTGCTGTAAGGGAGTAACTGTTGAACTGTTAGGGAGTAACTGTCGTACTGTAAGGGAGTAACTGTCAAACTGTAAGGGAGTAACAGTCGTGCTGTAAGGGAGTAACTGTTGAACTGTAAGGGAGTAACTGTCGTTCTGTAAGGGAGTTACTGTCGTACTGGAAGGGAGTAACAGTCGTGCTGTAAGGGAGTAACTGTTGAACTGTAAGGGAGTAACAGTCGTACTGTAAGGGAGTAACTGTCAAACTGTAAGGGAGTAACTGTCAAACTGTAAGGGTGTAACAGTCGTGCTGTAAGGGAGTAACAGTCGTACTGTAGGGGAGTAACTGTCAAACTGTAAGGGAGTAACAGTAGTGCTGTAAGGGAGTAACAATCAAACTGTAAGGGAGTAACTGTCAAACTGTAAGGGAGTAACAGTCGTGCTGTAAGGGAGTAACTGTTGAACTGTAAGGGAGTAACTGTCGTACTGTGGGGTAGTAACTGTCGTACTGTAAGGGAGTAACTGTCAAACTGTAAGGGAGTAACTGTCGTACTGTAAGGGAGTAACTGTCAAACTGTAAAGGGAGTAACAGTCGTGCTGTAAGGGAGTAACAGTCGTGCTGTAAGGGAGTAACTGTCGTACTTTAAGGGTGTAACTGTCAAACTGTAAGGGAGTAACTGTCAAACTGTAAGGGAGTAACTGTTGAACTGTAAGGGAGTAACTGTCAAACTGTAAGGGAGTAACTGTCAAACTGTAAGGGAGTAACTGTTGAACTGTAAGGGAGTAACTGTCAAACTGTAAGGGAGTAACTGTCAAACTGTAAGGGAGTAACTGTCGTGCTGTAAGGGAGTAACTGTCAAACTGTAAGGGATTAACAGTCGTGCTGTAAGGGAGTAACTGTCAAACTGTAAGGGAGTAACTGTCGTACTGTAAGGGAGTAACTGTCAAACTGTAAGGGAGTAACAGTCGTGCTGTAAGGGAGTAACTGTTGAACTGTAAGGGAGTAACTGTCGTACTGTAAGGGAGTAACTGTCAAACTGTAAGGGAGTAACAGTCGTGCTGTAAGGAAGTAACTGTTGAACTGTAAGGGGGTAACAGTTGTATTGTAAGGGAGTAACTGTCAAACTGTAAGGGAGTAACAGTCGTGCTGTAAGGGAGTAACTGTCAAACTGTAAGGGAGTAACAGTCGTGCTGTAAGGGAGTAACAATCAAACTGTAAGGGAGTAACAGTCGTGCTGTAAGGGAGTAACTGTTGAACTGTAAGGGAGTAACAGTCGTGCTGTAAGGGAGTAACAATCAAACTGTAAGGGAGTAACAGTCGTGCTGTAAGGGAGTAACTGTCAAACTGTAAGGGATTAACAGTCGTGCTGTAAGGGAGTAACTGTTGAACTGTAAGGGAGTAACAGTCGTACTGTAAGGGAGTAACTGTTGAACTGTAAGGGATTAACAGTCGTGCTGTAAGGGAGTAACTGTTGAACTGTAAGGGAGTAACAGTCGTGCTGTAAGGGAGTAACAATCAAACTGTAAGGGATTAACAGTCGTGCTGTAAGGGAGTAACTGTCAAACTGTAAGGGATTAACAGTCGTGCTGTAAGGGAGTAACTGTTGAACTGTTAGGGAGTAACTGTCGTACTGTAAGGGAGTAACTGTCAAACTGTAAGGGAGTAACAGTCGTGCTGTAAGGGAGTAACTGTCAAACTGTAAGGGATTAACAGTCGTGCTGTAAGGGAGTAACTGTTGAACTGTTAGGGAGTAACTGTCGTACTGTAAGGGAGTAACTGTCAAACTGTAAGGGAGTAACAGTCGTGCTGTAAGGGAGTAACTGTTGAACTGTAAGGGAGTAACTGTCGTTCTGTAAGGGAGTTACTGTCGTACTGGAAGGGAGTAACAGTCGTGCTGTAAGGGAGTAACTGTTGAACTGTAAGGGAGTAACAGTCGTACTGTAAGGGAGTAACTGTCAAACTGTAAGGGAGTAACTGTCAAACTGTAAGGGTGTAACAGTCGTGCTGTAAGGGAGTAACAGTCGTACTGTAGGGGAGTAACTGTCAAACTGTAAGGGAGTAACAGTAGTGCTGTAAGGGAGTAACAATCAAACTGTAAGGGAGTAACTGTCAAACTGTAAGGGAGTAACAGTCGTGCTGTAAGGGAGTAACTGTTGAACTGTAAGGGAGTAACTGTCGTACTGTGGGGTAGTAACTGTCGTACTGTAAGGGAGTAACTGTCAAACTGTAAGGGAGTAACTGTCGTACTGTAAGGGAGTAACTGTCAAACTGTAAAGGGAGTAACAGTCGTGCTGTAAGGGAGTAACAGTCGTGCTGTAAGGGAGTAACTGTCAAACTGTAAGGGAGTAACTGTCAAACTGTAAGGGAGTAACTGTCAAACTGTAAGGGAGTAACTGTCAAACTGTAAGGGTGTAACTGTCAAACAGTACGAGAGTAACTGTCAAACTGTACGGGAGTAACTGTCAAACTGTACGGGTTTAACTGTCAAACTGTAG